AAAATAGACAAATGGGACCTAATCAAACTCCACAGCTTCTGCACAGCAAAAGAAACAGTGAGTATTTCACTTATGACTGGACCTTCCTACTGGCAATCATTTCTGCCTCAAAGGAAGCAATAAAAAGGGACCCAGCCATCTTGTAGCAATTCCCTGGGAAGAGGGTAAACCCCATGTGCTCACTCCAACAAATACAGAGGTATTCAGATCTCCTCAGATATTATAAAAGAATGAAGAAATCTCATGAGCAGAAGGCTAAAACTGTGTAGGAAATATCCCAAATGTTGTTTAATAGTATTTGTCGTACAGAAAATAGGCACAAAGTAATAACCATGTCGTCAAAATATCTTAGTATCCTGAATTTCTGCCTTTTATTTTCCAAAAATTAAATTAAGCTAAATTAAAAGAATGAAGTCACACCTGAGTGTTAGCATTATTAAAACATCAGTAGGCCGGGCGCGCTGGCTCACGCCTGTAATCCCAGCACTTTGGGAGGCAGAGGCAGGCAGATCATGAGGTCAGGAGATTGAGAACCATCCTGGCCAATATGATGAAACCCCTTCTCTACTAAAAATATAAAAACTAACCGGGTGTCGTGTGGTGCACCTGTAGTCCCAGCTACTCAGGAGCAGGAGAATTGCTTGAACCCAGGAGGCGGAGGCTGCAGGGAGCTGAGATCACGCCACTGCATTCCAGCCTGGGCAAAAGAACAAGACTCTGTCCCCAGCCCTCGCCCCCAAAAAAAAAGACATCAGTTTAAGTGGGATGGGAAGAGAATAGATGGATCAGTGAACAGAAGATGCAATAAAAGTTTAATCTAGCTAGCTTCTAAAGATTAAGCTGCTTCAATTTTTAAAACAGTGAATACTTTTAAAATAATTTGAAATAAATACTTGACAAACAGTTCTTAAATTCCTAGGTTAAAAGATGTTACTGTGATCCAAGCTGTTAGTCCTCAGTCCCTAAATTATTCACCAGATATGTGAAAAGACTACAAGTTATACAAGCAAATTTAAAATATAATGACTCTATTCATAGTTTCCTTTTTTTGTAAAGGAAACTGTGAGAAGTAAATATGGGGAGGAAAAGTTCTTCAAAGATTATTCATGTTCATTGCCCAACGATCACTTCGGTGGAGAATGACATGCTGACAGGTACCTAAATCATTCCACTGCAAAGAACACTTATCTTCCTTGACATAAAACTAAAAGCAGCTTAGGCCATAAATTTGGCAGTGTAGTGATACCTTGTGAACAAACTAACTAATGATGCCTTAAGATTTCAGAAGCTAAAAACTATTCTTAAACGGTAGTCTTAGCCTGGGCAACATGATGAAAGCCCATCTCTACAAAAAAAAAAAAAAAAAAAAAAAAAAAAAAAGAAAGAAAAATTAGCTGAGCATGGTGACATGTGCCTGTAGTCCCAGGCTACCTGGGAGGCTGAAGCAGGACGATCAATGGAGCCTGGGAGGTCAAGACTGCAGTGAGCTATGATTGCACCACTGCACTACAGCCTGGGTGACGGTGAGAGCTTGTCTCAAAAACAAAACAAAATACAGTAGTCTCTCAACTTGCCTCAAACATATGTATACTAATTTTAAATTATTAGAAAGTGTTTAAAATTTATCAAGAGTTTTAACATGCATACATGTACAGTATAAATAATAATAATTTTTAAATAAAGAGCCCCTGGGTATTTCCACCCCAGGTAAAGAAACTGTTGTTTCTTTATTAAGACATTCCTTGGCTTCACTGCAAGGAACCCCTCTGAACAAGTAAATTCCTTTCTTTGCATCTCTTTCTTATCCTTCAAAGGCCTAATCTAAGTTCCACTTCCTCTTGTAACTACTGAAGTTATCAAGGATTTTTCCTTTCTCTGAACTACTGAACTTTCAGGTTACCATACTGTCAAACACTCATCTGTTATATCACATTATTAGATGTAGAAAACTGTTCCCCAAATGGACTTTAAGATACTTTCAGTCTGGAAGCACCTTTTAAGTTTCATAGCACATATGTCATTATTGGTACAATAATTAGTGTTTGATACCATATAATACATTGAAGCAACAGAACATTTTTAAAAATCTAAAAATCAGCATGCTAGCCAAAGAACCATATGCTTAAAAATGGTTTAAAAAAAAAGTTACTCAGTGATGGGCATTAAATGGTAACAAAAAAAAAATCTTTTTTATGTTACATATATTTTACAATTAAAATATATTTTTAAAATATATTCTTTTTAAATCAGCAAGCAACTCATACTCAATTAGGTGATAATTAGATATTTTTTCTTTTCTTCTTTTTACATGTTATTTGCCAGGAGATACTTTCTTATTTTCTTCACTTTAAAAAAATGTTTTTTCTTCTTCTCCCACTCTGGATCCCCTTCCCTAATGCTGAAATGGAAGCATTCCCAGTGTATGTCAAGAGCAAGAAACTAAAATGCCACAGGCAATGTTCTGGCATTGACAGCCAACCTAAAACTCACAGGACATTGTTTTTGAAAAAAACTTGCTAAGTATTTTAGTTTCACATTTTACCCAAATTTCTAATCCAAATAGACACTGTTTTACAGAATCTGAACTGTATGTACATACTCGTGAGAAAAGCTTTTAGACCTATCTTTTCACTGCTCTAATCAAGTGGGAACAGTGAACAGCAGTCAAAGGTGAGAACCAAGTTCAGTTACCATGTATATTATAAAATTCATTCACAAAATGTTACTTAACAGGTAAGTGGATTTCAGTAAAAGGAAAGTGACAGCAAACACTCTACCTTCCATAAAAATAATCTTTAGCACTGTAAAACATCTGCCAAAAAAGGTCACCACAACTTTGAGAAGCCCTTCTTTTGGTCAGTTGGGAACCAAATTACAAATTCTAGTTTACACCACCAGAAGCAGTTATAGGCCAACACTGACAGTACAACATGAGAAAGACCCAAAGAGTGGTTAAGCCAATGACCTCTAGACAGTAACACCATGTTATACAAAATGATCCACCAGAGTATAGTTAAACGTTACTGGCAGTTCTATTTCTATCTTAAAACATTATGTTAGCTAATATTTAAGGAGTTGATATTAATGCCCTCACTGAGTCTCTGTTAGATGGCTGCATGTCACTGACAAGCATACATGGGAGGCTAACTCAGAGAGCACTGACAATGTGATGGGTTATTTGTGATGATTAAGTGAATATGCAGATAATATAATGTAGTTTTAACCAAACAAGCCCTCATCAAATTCGTAAAGAAACTTTAAAAGATTCTTGCAAAAGAAATTACAATTGAAGAAAACTCTAACAAGCACAAAGGGGGGAAAAGTGTAAGTCAAGAGTTTCTCAGTGAGATAAAAAGGACACTTATCAGAGCTACAAGAGGGTTGTCCAACAAAAATGTAAATTTATCAAGAATACGTTTATGTTCTCTACCAATAAGAAGAATGAAACTTGCCCTAAGTGTAAAGTGTCTATTATTGCCCTATTAGCTAAAAATTGAGTGTATATACTTAATTTTTAAATAAATAAATAAATACAGGCTGAGCGTGGTGACTCATGCCTGCAGTCCCAGTGCTTTGGGAGGCCTAGATGGAGAGCATCACTTGAGGCCAGGAGCTCAAGACCAGCCTGAGCAACACAGCAAACTCCTATCTCTTAAAAAAAATTTTTTTAAGATGGGGTCTCACTCTGTCACCCAGGCTGGAGTGCAGTGGCATGATCCTGGCTCACTGCAACCTCCATCTCCTAGGCTCATACAATCCTTCCACCTCAGCTTCCCAAGTAGCTGGGACCACAGGCATGTGCCACTACGTCTGGCTAATTTTTTGTATTTTTTGGTAGAAACAGGGTTTCACTGTGTTGCCCAGGCTGGTCTTCAACTCCTGAGCTCAGGAGATTCACCTGCCTCAGCTTCCAAAGGTACTAGGATTACAGGCATGAGCCACCATGCCTGGCCAAAAAATAAAATGTATAAAAACTTAGCCAGACATAGTGACACACACCTGTAGTCTTAGCTACTCCAGAGGCTGACGCAGAAGCTGTGGATCACTCAAGGTCAGGATTTAGTTCAAGGTTACAGTGAGTTAGGATCATGCCACTTCACTCCAGCCTGGGCAACAGTGAGACCCTGTCTCTTATATCTATACATGAACAAAATCAGCTAGTCGAAGTGCAGCAGTTATTCACAGCTAACTGATCACAATTAGATTTCTTTATTCCCTCTCCACTCCCACTGTTTCACTTGACTAGTCCCCCAGCCCCTTAAAAAACCTCTTTTACTAACAGAAGAATATCCTCATAACAGGACTTTCAGAAATTCTGCTTTTCTATAAGAAAACTTATATCATGTTAATATACAAATTACTTTAATATAAATGTCAGTCCTCCAAGCTATCAACCAAATTTTTCAGATTTTCCTCCCTAAGGTTGCACACTTCCCTGTCTCCCTGAAGTTAGAGGAGACTGTGTGATTTGCTCTGATCAATGAAATGTGTACCACATGTCATCTCTAAGCAGAAACATAAGAGCCAGAGTAATCTGCTATCTCATTCCTCCCTTTCTGATAGTGACTGATACTGCTCCAGGTGGTGGTGGCTCCATGTGCCTGACTGCCAGAGTGAGGACGAAGTAGACTGTAACTGATTTACAGCTTGAATAAGAAATCAACAGTTGTTTTAATCCATTGAGGTTTTGAGGTTTATTACCACCACAGCTTAACCTAGCCTATTCAGATTAAGGTAGCATGTGGTAATTTTGATAAAGAACATGGGACCGCTAAGAAAAGAATATTACCTTCTCATTCTATATCTGTTCAGTATTGTTAAAGAGGATGAAATTTTATAAAAACCGTTACTTTCCAACTCTATGACTGATAATTTTCAAGTCTGCCTAAATAACAAAACAAGCTTCTGGCTATTTTGTTTAGGTTCCTTTCAAAATGACTTAAACTTTTACATAATCTTTTCAACTGAAATTGGTTTTTGGTTTCTTCAAAGCAGCTTACCACTAAGTAATTCAATCCAGTTCTGGACCGTTTCTGGAGGCTGAGTTTCCTTAACATGCTTCAGAGCTTCATCAAGAAGAACATCCCCTGTTGGAGCATCTGACTTACAGATTACCTAAAAAGAAAGTAAAAAGAATGATCCACTGATGTCTTTTCAGACTTGATCTCATTAAATGAAAAACATAAATAATTCATTATGCTTAAAGCCCCAAGTGTTCATGTAGTATCAAAGTTCAGACTTTAAATTACTTTTATGTTAAGGAAATCCAATATTTAACCTAACCAGGTTAGTTATAATAATGAATGAAAATTGGCTGGACACAGTGGCTCATGGCTGAATCCCAGGGGGAGGCTGAGGCAAGTGGATCACTTGAAGCCAGGAGTTTGATACCAGCCTGGCCCCCAGGGTGAAACCCTGTCTCTACGAAAAATACAAAAATTAGCCGGGTATGGTGGTGCATGCCTGCAATCCCAGCTACTCGGGCTGAGGCGGCATAATCACCTTAACCCAGGTTGCTCACTACAACTTCAAAAAAGAAAACAAAAATTCTATAGTATCAAAATTAAATCTATTGTATTATTTTATAATGTTAGCTATTTAAATGTTATAAAATTTAACATTATTATTATTCTTTTTGAGACAGAGTCTGGCTCTGTTGCCCAGGCTGGAGTGCAATAGCGCAATCTCAGCTCACTGAAACCTCCACCGCCCGCATTCAGGTGATTCTCCTGCTTCAGCCTCCTGAGTAGCTGGGATTAGAGGTGGCTGCCACCATGCCTGGCTACTTTTTGTATTTTTAGTAGAAATGGGGTTTCACCAAATTGGCCAGGCTGGTCTTGAACTCCTGAACTTGTGATCCGCCCACCTCGGCCTCTCAAAGTGCTGGGATTACAGGTGTGAGCCAATTTAACATTACTTTTAAAATGCAACAGTCTGGCCAATTTAACATTACTTTTAAAATGTGACAGTCTTCATTTAAATTTGTCCTCAAAGAGTCCTTTGCTTTTTTGTTCAATCTTATAAAAAAATTTAAAATACACATACATTATCTATCTCTATGACATCATGACCAGTAGAAATAAAAGAATCACAATATAAACCACAATCTATTCTTAAACTATCTAGTAGCTATATTTTAAAAGGAAAAAGGTTAAAATTAATTTTAATATTTTGATTTAACCAAATATAAACAAAATATTAACATGTAATAAATATTTTTAAATTGAGGTACTTAATATATTTTTCCATACCAAGACCAAAAATCCAGTGTATCCAGTATATGTTTTATTAACATCATGTGTCAATGTGCAGCAGCCAAATTTCAAGTGCTTAACTCTGTGGCTCATACACATATGTAGCTAGTAGCCAACATATTGAACAGTACAGATACATACCATTTTCATCATCAAACAAAGTTCCAATCAAACAGTGCTATTCTACACCATGCTTTCAGTGAAGGGTGAGAGAGCACAAGAAAATAAAGAAAAGAGAGCCTCAGGAGAAAAAGTTACATCTAAATATTGTGGCCATGCCACCGCTTCTTACATCCCACTCACTCCTTATATTTATTGCAATTTGGCGTCAAAGCTCGCCCACACACATGCCTTTGCAATGGATCTTATGTCAGGGACACCACAGCCTGGGTGCAGGTGAATCACTTTTTCTTATGAAGTTCTATCCCCTAATTGTCAAATGTATCACTTTTTCCATCATCCTGACATTACAGTCGGCCTTCCATATCTACAGATTGAGCCAACGGAGGATCAAAAATATTAAGAAAAAAATAATACGAATTTTAAAATGCAGTATAACAATTATTTACACAGCATTTACACTGTGTTCGGTACTGTAAAGTAATCTGGGGGTGATACAAAGCATAGAAGAGGATGTGCATAGGTTATACGCAAACACTACAACATCTTATATAAGAAACTTGAGCATCCACAGATTTTGATATTTGAGAGGAGTCCTAGAACCAATCCGCCACAGATACTAAGAGACAACTATATTCTAGTTGCCTAATCTGGTTGTTTTTCACCTGGATTAATTTAAGCCTCTTAATTTCCCTAAACTAGTTTTAATCTTTTCAATCCATTCTTCTCAGTGATCTTTCTAACAGGCAAATCTTACTATGGCATTCCACTGCTTCTGCTTAAAACTTTTCAATGACTCGAGTAAGTTCTAAATTCCTTTTAAAAATTCAGTAGTAAGTGTGGTTCACAAAGAAATATTTTCTATCCAAACATATAATTTGTATTTAGCTTGTTGGTGTTTTATTTTTGGGGAAGGGCAGGGCCATTCCTAAATATAAATAGATAATCAATGATAACATGTGAAAAAAAGCTTCCAACACAGAAGAGACCAAAAAGAGAAAATAAGAACTCTAAAGAAACAAAGATAATACAGATGAAGGAAATTTTCAAAAGAGGTGTGATATCCTCAGAAGTCTAAAAGAAGGTATTAACATCCATAAAACAAACTACAATTTTTAAAAAGGAGGCTCATGGAAATAAAAAACATAGAGCCACAATAAAAAACTCAACAGAAAGGTCAGAGGACAACTCTTTAACAGCAGCCAAGAAGTCCATATCCAATTTACAGAGTTCTAGAAAAAGAGGGGGCAAAAGACATAAGAAATACAAGTTTTTAAAACCAAAATATATACATTTCCATATTGAAAAAATTAATGTATAATGAATTTTAAAATGACCCATTAAGGCATCTTTCTTTTTTTTTTTTTTAATTAAGGCATATTGTGCAATTTCAGAACACCAACAAAGATAACAGAAGATCCCAACTGCTTCTAGAAGTGGGGGGGAAAAAAAAAAAAAAAAAGAACAAGGAAGATTGAAAATCAGAAGGAGGCCCAGCACCACGGCTCACGCCTATAGTCCCAGCCCTTTGGGAAGTCAAAGCACGAAGATCACTTGAGCCCAAGCATTCAAGACCAGCCTGGGCAATAAAGACCTTATCTCTAATAAAAATTTTTTTAAAAAAAATTAGCCAGGAGGCCAGGCGAAGTGGCTTACTCCCATAATCCTAGCACTTTGGGAGGCCAAGGTGGGCGGATCATTTGAGGTCAGGAGTTCGAGACCAGCCTGACCAACATGGTGAAATCCTGTCTCTACTAAAAATACCAAAAAAAAAAAAAAAAAAAAAAAAATTAGCCAGGTGTGGTGGTGCATGCCTGTAATCCTAACTACTAGGGAGGCTGAGGCAGGAGAATCACTTAAACCCAGGAGGTGGAGGCTGCAGTGAGCTGAGATGGCACCACTGCATTGTGGACTGGGTAACAGAGTGACACTCCGTCTCAAAAAAAAAAAAAAAAAAAAAAAATTAGCCAAACACGGTGGCACATACCTATAGTCCCAGCTACTTGGAAAGCAGAGGTTGCAGAGAACCAAGATCATACCACTGCCCTCTAGCCCAAGCGATGGAGGCTCTATCTCAAAAACAAAAAATAAAAGGAAAAGAAAATCAGAAGGGTACCAGACTTTAACAGCAACTCTGTATTCTAGAAAATGATGGGCTGGATGTGGTAGCTCATGCCTGTCATCTTAGCACTTTGGAAAGCCCAAGGCAGATGGATCGCTTGAGCCCAGGAGTTTGAGACCAGCCCAGGCAACATGGAAAAACCCCATCTCTATAAAACATACAAAAATTAGCTGGGAGTGGTGGCACACGCCTGTAGTCCCAACTACTTGGAAGGCTGAGGCAAGAAAATCACTTGAACCAGGAAGGCAGAGGTTGCAGCGTGTGGAGATCACATCATTGCACTCCAGCGTGGGTGACAGAGTGAGACTGTCTCAAAAAAAATAAAAAAGAAAGAAAAAGAAAAATGCATGAATGGTGTTCTTTCCTACAGAACTTATTCTTGATAGCTTATCAATCAAAAACTTTCATTTCTGACCTAAAACTTTTAGACTCATTAGGACATCAATTTAGGGAAAAAAACTAATAGCTTTGAAACACCATGCCCAAGAAACACAATGACAAACTGGAAGAAAAACAGTCTTGAATATTTGAGGTTGAGGCTGAGTTTAATTTCTAAAACTAGCCAATATTACCTCTATTATACCAGAGAAGCACCTACACAGACCTTCAGACAGGTATCTGAAAAGTATTCATAATCTAATGAAAAAAATCAATAGCCTATGCGTAAATTGCACAGTAACATGTTTGAGTTTTTAATGTCAAGTCTTTCAAAATTATGGCTTTTAAAAACATCAAATGAAGTCTGGAATCTTTCTGAAGATGTAAGATCCAGTGGCCGGTTACCCTAACAATGAATTACATTATTCATTATATGTGCAAAGAACCAGAAAACCAAGGATGCAAAAAAGATATGGACATACAATTGAATAAAGATAACTTTAAAATCAACTTTTAATTTTTGAAGGCTATTAGTAAAAACATACATTTTAAGCAGCACAAACTCTTTAAAAAGAATGGTACTCAGCACTCCTCTTACCTTTCTTGTTAATAGACTTTTACGTCTCATTCCACAAGCCTCTAGTTGTAACCTTCCTCTCAATGCTAATTCAATTAACATACAGCCACGTAATCCAGATGATATACAGTCATTCCAAAATGATGTGTAACCCTATTTAAAAAAAAAAAAAAAAAAGAAGAAAGAAAACAAAATAGCTAATTTACCTTGAATTTAGAGTGAAAACAGAAATATTCTCAGCCAAAGTCAAGTTTGGTGCCTTTTACCTTTCCTTTCAATAATATACTGAAAAATATACAATTAACATAAATTACTCATGGAGAATTTTCAGGGGCTTATCTTTCCACCATTTATTCTTACATACAGATAAACAACAAATAACTTTAGAGGTTAGAGGTTTAGAAATATAATTCATATTTCACTAAGCTATGTTTATTACATTCTTTCAGAACTCTGCAAACTCCAAGGAATATTCAGTTAACCTCAGATTATAGTGATTGATTATATGTGGACAAGTTAAAAGGCTCAGGGAAAGACAACCTAGCGAAATTTAGCTTCACAGAGAATCAGAATACCATTCCTTCATTGCTGTTTAAGATAAAAACACAAGGTTAATCCGAGCGCTTTGGGAGACTGAGCTGAGAGGGTGGCTTGAGCCCAGGAGTTTGAGACCAGCCTGGACAACATAGTGAGATCCTGTTTCTACCAAAAAAAATTTAATTAGCTAGGTATGGCACTGCACACCTGTAGTCCCAGCTACTCGGGAGGCTAAGGTGGGAGGACCACTTGTGTCTAAGAGTTCAAGGCTACAATGAGCAATGATTACACCAACACACTGTAGCCTGGGCAAAACAGTGAGACATTGTCTCTTAAATACACAAACAGTTAATTCTGTAAGAATATATTAGAAAAACACATATGCGCCCACGAACAAAGGGCTGGCTATATGCCTAAAATTCTGAAAAATAAACAGTGTAACAATCAGATTGGCCCCAAGAGAGAATGTAGAATAGCCAGACACAAGGAGGTTGACAGACATCTAGAGATCCGGGACACCGGTCAAGCAGGCATCACCAGATGAGGTCAGGGTACTCTAACAGCAAATAACTGGGTTGTTCAAATTATAAAGCCACAAATCTTGCCAGCAGGATTGCCAGCTATCAATTTAAGATACCCAGTTCTCATGAGACAGCAGAAGCTATAAATAATTCTCATTAAGGTTCAGAACAGGATAACATAATTTTGGTAGGAGAGCAGGCCAACTGAATCTCTCAAGAATGGAGGGCCCAGGATTAGGAAGGCCTGGCCCTCACCTCTGGTGCTTTACCCGGTCAATCCTAGCACTTTGCTAGGCCAGAGCAGTGAGTTTGTATTTCAGAAAATGACTGACCACTGAGGTCCATCAAACTTCATTTTTGATACAAGGAGTTAAATTTGTTTCATGAAGCTACCACTTCTGAGAAAGTGACCTTTGGGGAAATAATAATTTAGATTAAAGGAGGCACAAGGAGATAAACAAAAACATCAGTGTTAAGAGATCAATTTAAATGTGAAGTAGAAGCAGCTGACACTGACTGGATTTTAGGGAATCATTTTAAATCAGTGTTAGGGTCAATTAAGTGAAGATTACCAGATCAAATGAAGATTACCAGACATTTAGCAAAGTGACTAATACCAGTTTATAGAGGCTAGATAAAATGCATGGCTTCTGTGTCCATGAAATTAAAGCCCTACGAATCCTGAGAATGAATTCTACATGAAATTAAAGTTACAGATATCTGGCTTTGACTGGCCTGGACAAATAGACAAGAGTTTATAAGTGAACCTCTACAAACTGTAAACCACAGAACACCTTATGAAGCAACACTGGACGTGAACAGCTCTACAACCTGCAATTCCAGCTGAACAGTACCTGGAAGCTTACATCTGATGGCAGAGAACTAAAATGTATCTCAATCTCAATTGCTCCTAGACTAATGGCATAACCAGAGATGTCAGCAAAATGGAGTCTTTAATATCAGACTTTAGAGATCTAAATTTAGTAAACGGTTTTAGGCATTACCATGAAAGACACATGCTTAAACAGAATTGGATTCACATGGGAAAGCAGACGAATGCACATGGACAGTTCTGGGACTCACCAGCAAGATTTCAAAGACAAATGAAGCCAGCAAAGACATACTAAGCAACAGAAAAGTCCTGTATATTGACACCTTCCTGCTAAAACCCACATCATAAAAGCAGGATCAAAAATTAACCAGAGGGTGGCCGGGCACAGTGGCATATACCTGCAATCCCAGCACTTTGGGAGGCAAAGGTGGGTGGACTGCTTGAGCCCAGAAATTCCAGACCAACCTGGGCAACATGGTGAAACCCCATCTCTACAAAAAATACAAAAATTAGTCAGGTATGGTGATGCATGTCTGTGCTCCCAGATACTTGAGGTGGGAGAATCACCTGAGCTCAGGAAGCTGAGTCTTCAGTGAGCCGTGATAATGCCACTACACTCCAGCCTGGGTGACAGGAGTGAGACCCTATCTCAAAAGAAAAAAAGAAAGATAAAGTATGTGGGGAAAATTAGTAACTGGCAATATCAAGCAGCTTATGATCGTAGTCATAAATTAGTTCCTATGTTCTAAAATATAAGGATGGCAGAGGGCAGAAACATCTCAAGTAGGGTTGGGTCTCCATCTGCCTGATTTCCTTTTATCTTTCAAGTACCTCAAGTTGAATGGTAGAAAAGGGTATTGTTTATTAAGTCCCCTAAAACTGCAAACACTGAGAAGAGTTCTCACCACTAGAGTTAAGAGATGCTGTTCTCCTCTTAAGTGCCTACTTACCCAGAAGCTTTTTGTCAAGAAGAAACTCAACCAGCCTGGCCAACACAGTAAAATCCCGTATCTACTAAATATATAAAAATTAGCTGGGCGTGGTGGCACCCGCCTGTAGTCCCAGCTACTCAGGAGGCTGAGGCAGAATTGCTTGAAACCAGGAGGCGGAGGTTGCAGTAAGCCAAGATTGCGACACTGCACTATAGCCTGGGTAACAGAGCGAGACTGTGTCTCAAAAAAAGAAGGAAGTCAAAAGGTTGGTGACCCAAAATGAAATGCAATAAAAAGTCTATATTAATATCATAAGAGGGATATAACCAGAAGCATAAGATTTTCGTCCTATGTTATTAAAAACATTTACAACATGGGAAAATGCTCATAATATATATCCTACATGAGAAAGAGATACAAAATTATATTATCTAAAGCAGAAACGTCCGGTCTTTGGGATTCCCTGGGCCACACTGGAAGAATTGTCTTGAGCCACACTTAAAATATACTAACACTAATGACAGCTGATTAGCTAAAGAAAAAAATAATCTCATGTTTTAAGAAAGCTTACAAATATGTGTTGGACCAGATTCAAAGCCGTGGGCCACCTGTGGCCCACAGGCCGTGGGTTGGACAGGTTTGATCTAAAGCATAATCTTATTTTGAAATTATGTAAATATTAATACATATACACATTATACGTTTATATTTACAAAAAACTTTAAAATGTTCATATCCTTTGACACAATTCTTACGGGCCTTTAGTTAGAAAATACTGTGCACAAAAATATATGTACAAATATACTGATCACAAAATTACCATAGTAAAACACAAAAACAACCAAAAAGTTAAAAGGGAATAAATTCAGTGCTTCCCAAACTTTCCTGACCTTGAAACATCTTAATTTACAGTATACTTTTAACAGCTTGCAGAATATTACAATTCTATGAAAATCAGTTTAAAAATCCTGGTGCAGGAGGCAGAGGTTGCAGTGACCCAAGATTGCACCACTGCACTCCAGCCTAGCAACAGTCACACACACACACACACAAAAATCCTGGTGCAGAAGGTTATTATAAAACATAAAAAAAAATTATAAAATTGTGTGTGTGTGTGTGTGTGTGTGTGTGTGTGTGTGTGTGTAGAGAGAGAGAGAAAGAGATAGAATAGTCTCTTTTTTTAGGGAGATCAGAAGAAAGGTTTTAGCAGTAGTAATGCCTGGTGATTATAGGGATCTTTATTTTCTTTAGGCTTTTCTGCATATATTAAAGGAAAACTGGAAGCAAGAAGATCAGTAAGGAAAAGGCTCTAGTTATAGCTGTTCAGGCTTTAAAAGCAATAGTTAGGACAGTGGCAGTAATTTAAGAAAGGCAAAATACTAGAAGAACTAATAACTTTCCACAAAAATAACTATGAACCACAAAGTAAAGCATAGTTGCGATGTAGTAAAAAACAGTGCTCAAGAACCCAGACTGCACAACACACACCTGGCAATTCAAATCAACTCCAGCTCTACCACATACTATGCAGTTAAATTTCTGAGACTAGTGTTCTTAATATAAAACAGAAGTTGTGAAGATTAAATAACATCTATAAAGCACAACTCCTGGCAAATAGTAATTATTTAATAATGAAAAATATGTACAATTAGAATGGAATGGGGAAGGAGGATTGCAAATTCAGTTACTTAGAATGTATAAAGAACATGACTGAATAAAGAGACCCAGGTATGGAATGCAGCAAGCTGGACAATGTCCTCTTTCATCTATCTGGGGAGGACAACTTAGCCCTTATCAACCGTTGTCATGTGTAAAACATGGGCCTACTCTTGCCACATCTTTTTCAAAAGAGGGCAGAAAAGAACATTTCTGTGTGTTATTTCCCATCTTTGAAAGGATCACAACTCAAGGTTTACTAAACAAAACATACCTGGCAAACCAGTAGGCAACCTCTTAAACTAAACATTTTACAAAACATACTACGTTATATAAACGTTCAGTTACTAGTCAAAATATGCATAAAGTACTCAAAATAGTTTTCATTTTGTTCTTATGCACAAAATATTTCAAATGAAATCACTAAAGCACAACACGGTATTTTCTATATAATGTTGAATTCTGGTGTGGCCAACGTTTTGGAAATGGCTTTCTAATAGGAATACAGGCCAGGTCTACATGGTGGCTCACACCTGTAATTCCAATACTTTGGGTGCCTGAGGCAGTTGGATCATCTGGGTCAGGAGTTCAAGACCAGCCTGACCAACATGGTGAAACTCCATCTGTACTAAAAATACAAAATCAGCTGGCTGTAGTGCACATGCCTGCAATCCTAGATATTTGGGAGGCTGAGGCAGGAGAATCACTTAAACCCAGGAGGCAGAGGTTGGAGTCAGCCAAGATTACGCCATTGCAGTCCAGCCTGTGCAACAAGAGTGAATCTCCATCTCAAAAAAATTAAAAAAAAATTTAAAAAAAAAAGTGATTGTACTAGCCAAATCTAACTGGACCAGGTTGAGGAAATTAAGTCCTCCTCCTGAGTATCTAAACTTGCCATACTGAATCAGTTATATGGGCATGGCACTAGAGCTGTACTGGTTGTGTGGATTCAGAAGCTACTGGCCACTGGGTACAAATGCAGAGAATAAAGGTGACAGAAAGGAAAACAGAAGACATATGCAAAGAAGAAATGAGAGAGAATGCAATGTGAGGCAAACCAAGACATACAGAGAGAGACAGAAAGACACATACACAGAATAGCATGTTTGTTGTTTTAAGCTGCTGTTTTGTTATGCAGTAAGATAATTAATATAGTGGGCGTCCAGGGCTGGCGGAATGGGGGAAGGGAGAGGTAATGGCTAAAGGGTATAAGTTTTCTTTTGGAAGAGATAAAAATATTCTAAAATTGATTATGGTGATGGTTGTACAAATCTGTAAATATATTAAAAATCTTGAATTGTATACTTCAAATGGCTGAATTATATGGCATATGAATTGTATCTCAAAGCTGCTACAAAAAAAGAAATTGTATAAAGTCACTTCTGAAGTCTTACATGAAATTCTGATTATCATAAAAAATTAAGCATCAAAAAGTTCTTGACAAAAATAACTAATGGAGCAGATTAAAAAGACTGGACAAGAAAAAGCATTTACAGGCCGGGCGCGGTGACTGACGCCTGTAATCCCAGCACTTTGGGAGGCAGAGGCGGGTGGATCACGAGGTCAACAGATCGAGACCATCCTGGTCAACACGGTGAAACCCCGTCTCTACTAAAAATACAAAAAATTAGCTGGGCATGGTGGCGCGTGCCTGTAATCCCAGCTACTCAGGAGGCTGAGGCAGGAGAATTGCCTGAACCCAGGAGGCGGAGGTTGCGGTGAGCCGAGATCGCGCCATTGCACTCCAGCCTGGGTAACAAGAGCAAAACTCCGTCTCAAAAAAAAAAAAAAAGAAAAGAAAAAGCATTTACAGATATGAGACTCCTGTTAAAGAAGTAGTAAATCTAGGTTCGATGGCTCAAGCCTGTAATCTCAACACTTTGGGAGGTCAAGCTTGGCAGCTCACCTGAAGTCAGGAGTTTGAGATCAGCCTGGCCAACACGGCAAAACCCCATCTTTACTAAAAATACAAAAATTAGCCAGGCGTGGTGGCATGTGCCTGTAATAATTAGCTACTCAGGAGGCAGAGGCAGGAGAATCGCTTGAACCCAGGAGGCAGAGGTTGCAGTGAGCCACTACACTTCAGCCTAGGCAACAGAGTGAGACTCTGTCTCAAGAAGCAGCAAAAAAAGTAGTAGTAAAACTGCATTTGCTGGTGATATTGCTGGATACCTATAAAAACTGGAGAGTAAATGGAAAAATTATTACAGATACGAGTTTACTAAAGTAGCCAGATTATATAAAATTAAGCATCAGCTTGTCATATGCAAACAAAATATAAATGCTGAAATACTAAAAAGTTAAAATATAACTGAAAAGATCTTTACAATAGCAACAAAAATATCAAGGCAAAACCTATGTGAAAAGTTTAAACCCTCTTGAAAGACTTAAAAATAGACTTGAATAATGGAAAGCTATTTCATTCTTAGATACCAAGTCTCAGCATTATCAATTCTTCCTAACTTAACTTACAAATTTAATATCCCAATAAAAATAGCGACAGACTTTTCCTCGAGCTATACAAGTTAAAAATAAAAGTTCCTAAAGAAAAATAAAAAAGAATAACCAGGAAAATTTGGGAGATAGCAATATGTAGGGAATAGAAATGAAAGCCGTCCTACTAGACACTAAAATAGATTTAAAAGTCTCTAAAATTAAAATGATGTTACACTGGCACGTGAAGAGACAGACCAACAAAATAAAGTCCGGAAACAGACCCAAGAACACGCTGAAATGAAATACGGGTTGAGTATCCCTTATCCAAAATGCTTGTAACTGGAGGTGTTGTAGAGTTAAATTTTTTTTTCACATTTTGGAATATTTGCATTATACCTAAATCCAAAAATCTGAAATCCAAAATGTTTCAATGGGCATTTTCTTTGATTGTCACATTGGTGCTGAAAACGTTTTGGATACTGGAGCACTTCCAATTTCAGATTTTCGGATTTGGGATTCTCAATCTGTATATGATAAAAATGTCATCACAAATCAATGTAACAGGGACAGATGAACATTTTAATCAAACGAGTTGGGACAACTGGAGAGCCATTAGGAAAAACACAAACGGATCAATTCCTCATTATAAATCAATAGAAACTCCAAATGGATCAGAGGCTGAAATGTAAAGTGAAATAATGTAAGTACTGTTAGAGGAAATAGGAGTGTAAACCTTTATAATCTGGGAGTGGAAGAAAAAACTTCCCAGCTAGGGAAATCTAGGAGCAATAAAAGGGACCACATATATTTTTGGTAAAGTTTGCAAGGCAAAATCATATGCAAAATCAGAGGACAAATGACAATTCAGAAAAAGATATTTACAACTTATATCTCAGATAAATCTCTAGTATATACTTAGTTCCTAAAAATTAAGGTTTTTTTTTTGTTTGTTTTTTATTATTATTTTGAGGCCAGGCACAGTGGTGTATACCTGTAATCCCAGCACTTTGGGAGGCCAAGGCAGGAGGATCACCTGGGCCAGGAGTTTCAGACCACTCTGGTAACACAGTGAGAGCCCGTCTCTACAAAAGATGTTTTAAAATGAGCTGGGTGTGATAGCACATGCCTGTAGCAGCTAGAGGCCTCGAGCCTGGGAGGTTGAGGCTGCAATGAGCTATGATTGCACTAACGCACTCTAACCTGACCTGTCTCCAAAAATATATATATTTTTGAAATATTCAATTTTTAAAAAGGTAACAGATAACAAAGTTCATGAAAGAAATGGAAATTACCAAAACATAACAAAAGATGCTTTGTCATTCTTAATAAAAACAATACACATTTAAAATACATGAGACCTAGCAAAAAGAACCCCACCTAATTAAAAAAGACAAAACATATACATATCAACAATGAATTTAAATAAAATGTAGCATATGCATACAAGAAAACATTATTCAGCCTTAAAAATGAAAATTCTGATACAAAGATCTACATAAAATTCTATTACATAGCAACAAAACATAGATGAACTCTGAAGACATCAGGCTAAGTGAAATTTGCCAGTCACAAATAGACAAAATATTCTATGGTTCCACATATATGAAGTACCTAGAATAGTCAAATTCATAGAGACAGTGGTTCCCAGGGGTTGTGGAGAGAAGAGAATAGTAGTTACTATTTAATGGGTAGAGTTTCGGTATGAAATTATAGAGAAGTTCTGCAGAGGGACAGTGTTGCTGACTGCACAATGTGAATCTACTTAATGCCACGAAACTGTACACTTAAAAATGTTTTAAGTGGTAAATTTTATGTTACACATATCTTATCTTTTTTTTTTTTTTTAACTACATGAAATCATACATATCAGGCTGGCAAAAATCCAAAAGCTTGGCTGGATGCAGTGGCTCATGTCTGTAATCCCAACACTTAGGGAGGTCAAAGTGGAGGGATCACTTGAGGTCAGAAGTTCGAGACCAGCCTGGCCAACACGGTGAAACCCTGTGTCTACTGAAAAAAAAAAAAAAAAAAAAAAAAAACTAGCTGGGCATGGTGGCACGTGCCTGTAATCCCAGCTATTTAGGAAGCCGAGGCAGGAGAATCACTTGAATCCAGGATGCCAAGGCTGCAGTGAAATGAGATCACACCATTGCACTCCAACCTGGGCGACAGAGCAAGACTCAGTCTCAAAAAAAAAAAAAAATCCAAATGTTTGACAGCATAGTTAGCAAAGATAAGGGAAACACGCACTTTCATACATTATGATGGGAATGTCAACATGACACTACTTTTACTGAGGGGAATTTGGGGATCTAGAAAAATCACACATACATTTATCCTTTAACTTGACAATTCTACTGCTAAGGTAT